AAATGTGAAAGGGTCTGGAGAAGCCGTGGAGAACATTATGCTGCCTATAACATCGTTCAGCATGACCATTTTGGTGGTGGGTCAGCGATGGTCTGGGGAGGCATATCCATGGAGGGACGCACAGACCTCTACAGGCTAGACAATGGCACCCTGACTCCCATTTGGTATCAGGATGAAATCCTTGGACCCATTGTCAGACCCTACACTGGTGCAGTGGGTCCTGGGTTCCTCCTGGTGCATGACAATGCCCGGCCTCATGTGGCAAGAGTATGCAGGCAGTTCCTGGAGGATGAAGGAATGGATGCCATTGAATGGCCCCCACGCTTGCCTGACCTAAATCCAATAGAACGCCTCTGGGATATCATGTTTCGGTCCATCCGACATCGCCAGGTTGCACCTCAGACTGTCCAGGAACTCAGTGATGCCCTGGTCCAGATTGTGAGGAAATACCCCAGGACACCATCAGTTTTCTCATTAGGAGCATGCCCCGACGTTGTCAGGCATGCAGGGGCCATACAAACTACTGAGTACCAATTTGAGTTGCTACAATTAAATTTCAGCAAAATGGACTAGCCTGCTGCATTATTTTTTCAGTTTGATTTTTGGGGTGTCTTTGAATTCATTCCTCTGTAGGTTGATAATTTTCATTTCCATCATACGATGGGCTATCCTTACATTCCTAACACATTAACCAGTCCATATCAGTATAGATATCCAGCATGATATTTTTTTTCCCCCATTGAGATCTGATGCGTTTTTAAAGTGTTCCTTTAATTTTTTTGAGCAGTGTAAATACAGTACTATGTCAAGGTTAACAGTTATTGCTTCTTCTAAGAAGATTGTCTATTCACATTTTCTGGTGTCATGTCATTAGTTGAGCAGATGAATTTAAAAGTGCACATATTGTAAGGCAGTTTTTGGGTTTGCCAATAATCTTAATAAGTCTTCTTAATGCTTTTAAATGTGAAAAAATACTGTGGGGTTGATTTACTAAAACTGGAAAGAGCAAAATCTGGTGTAGCTCTGTATAGAAACCAATCAGCTTCCAGATTTTATTATCAAGTTAGAAGCTGATTGGCTACCATGCACAGCTGCACCAAATTTTGCACTCTCCAGTTTTAGTAAATCAACCCTCTATGTGTAATGTATTTTTTTTTTAAATGCGGTAGAATTCAGTGCAGACCTTAAGATCTATCCATGTAGGAATACATGGGATTTCAACTTGAAATGCATTAGCCAAGCAATTAATTACATGTTTTTTTTATGGCAGGAGAAGTGACAAGTGTGAACAGGCCCTTGGGACATCAATCAAGAATTCAGGTAAGAATGTTTTGGTTCCCATAGTGTATCTAAAGCCAACATTGCTTTCCTTGATTCACTTATGTGTCTGTGTTTTGTATAGAAAATCATTAAAGGGTTAGTTTACCTTATCAACAAACTGTCTATGCAGGTAAGTGGTTCCTGTAGATAAAACAAACTGGGCAGCTCCGACTACAATTGAATAATGCCCTTGCTTTAGATGTAGGCCATTTATGCAGCTCCTGAAGCCTTTCTGAAAAACTCCCTGAGATGGTATCATCCCATCCTTCTTGTTTCTAGGACGTTGCTAAGACACTCCCAGCTGATTCAAACCCTCTCAACATGCGCTCTCTCTGCCCTGTTGCCGTAATAGTAATGCTGCAAGGGAGGAGATAGTAGACTACACATGTATCAGGGTTTGAGAGCTTGCTCCTGCGACAACGGGGTGAGCAGTAATGGCTGGGAGTGTCTTACCAGTGTCCTTGCAACAAGGCAGGATGGGATGATGGCATCTGTGGGAGTTTTTTTGGCCAGGCTGCGGGTGGTACGTAAATAACGTACAGCTATAGCAAGGGCACTATCCAACTTTAGTCAAAGATGCGCTGTTTGTTTTTATCTACAGGTGCCCCTTATCTACATTTTTTTGGTAAAGGTGATAAAAAACCCTTTAAAGAATCAAATTGTATTCTAATAAGTTCAACTGACTATTTTTTGAACGTGAAAAGTTGAGTACAATCCATGATACTTTTTTTCTATTTCCACTAATTGATAATTTTTCAGGGAAAGCCTTTGGGGTCTACCTCCTTCTTCTAGGTCTAAGAACAGAGATTTAGAAAAATGTTAGGTCTAATCTGCAAAGAAAACAATCTATAATATAATACATAGATGTGAGAAAATGAGATAGACAAAGCAGATGGGTGAGCTATGGAATGGGGGGCACAGAGGTCAGAATAGTCATCTGACATTCAATTTGTTACTTCTTGTGTCAAATACAATTATCATTCATAGTTCCAAGTTTTTCCTTTCCTTAGTACTTTATAGTTCCTTTTGAACCTAAAACATTTATCTTCTTAAGAGTGGTCTAGTTTTGAGAAACAATGCCCAACTGTTGTGCAGTAATCACCTTTCTCACTTTTTTTAGAGGGCTGATTCACGTGCCCTTACAATGCAGCTGCTGATGTGTGGTGAGGTGCAGAGGGATCACCGCGGTGCCAATGCAACAATTGTGTTGTTGCATTGCACTGTTTGTTTTTTTTTAACCACTTGCTCTCCAGAGGATTTACCCCCCTTCTTGACCAGGCCATTTTTTGCGATACGGCGCTCCGTTACTTTAACTGACAATTAAGCGGTCATGCAACGCTGCACCCAAATTAAATTTATGTCCTTTTTTCCCACAAATGGCGCTTTCTTTCAGTGATATTTGATCACCTGTGCATTTTTAATTTTTTGCGCTATAAACAAAAAAAGACAATTTTGAAAAAAAAAAACAATATTTTTGACTTTTTGCTATAAAACATATGTAGTAAAAAAAATGTGAAAATAAAATTTCTTCAAAAATGTAGGCCAAACTGTATTCTGTTACGTCTTTGCTAAATAAAAATCCCAATACATGTAAATTAATTGGTTTATGATTATGTGAAAGCTATAGCGTCTACAAATGGCAGTATATACACTTAAATTTACATTTTTTTATACTAGTAATGGTGGCAATCAGTGACTTATAGCGGGATTGCGGGATTGCGGGACTGCGGTCGGCATTCAGACACTGGGTGGGAACTGACTAACTGCCACTGACATCCCAAGGACACTAAGGCCGGCTATACATGGGTCGATTTCCGAATGATTTTTAGTTCAAAAATTGGACCTTAGAATATTCAACCGATTTTCGCTCTGTTAGTGGGGTAATGGCACTGGCCGATTTTCGTGGTTCCTCCCCATTTTGTTTATTGGGCATGTTGGAAAATTTGGGAAAAACTACTGATTTTTTAAAGCATTGGTGGCACCATCGGATTACAGAATGAATGAAGTTAATGGCACTGGGCAGGAAGGGGATAACATCTGGGGTGATCAATGGGTTAACTGTGTGCTGTGTTTTACAACATGTGCTGTGTGTGTTTTACTAGGGAAACATGCTGCTGTGTACTTCTCTGCTGTGCAATCATAACATGTGGGGCAATCAAAGGGTTAACTCTGTGCTGTTTTACTATGGGGGCTGTTTGTGTTTCACTGTAAGTACACTGCTTTGTATTGCTCGGCTATGCAGAGCCTCTCTTTCATTGTAAAGGTTTCATTATTTTGTCATTTATTTTGAAACAGATATGCTATCATTTTTTAATTCTGTACATATAGATCATTAGCATGTTTCATGTTTTTAGTTAGTTTAATTATATCTTTTGCCTGCTCTTAGTTTACCAATCCTTATCTCATCAGCTTCTAGGAGAAAATCCTGCCAATATATTATTTGAAGCTAGGAAAGTGAATAGATGGCTGTGTCGTCAGGGATTAGCTAACTGACTTAAGAACGACTTTATCTTTGCTTGTAAGCCAACTCTATGCTTTTATGTACACGAGGAAAACATACGGCAAACCCACGTCACTTATTCTAAAAATCTTTGATTAAAGGAGGAGTATAGCCAATGCTTTTTTGCCTGTACTTCTGTGGATCAAATACTTATTTCCCTCATGAACATGCAAATCAGTGCATAATTTGTTAGACATGCATTTCTTTTGAATTTTGTGTTGCTATTCTGTCTCTCAGTGTTACAATACGCCTACCATTCGATTTATAGACTGATCATTTCTTTGTGAGTGGGCAAACATTCAAAATCAGCAGGGGATCAAATACTTATTTCCTTCACTGTAGATAGAAAGATACCGGTGGCTTTATGTAACAAAAGGCAGGCTTCATCCACCCGCTGGAGACAATATTGGGACAATTTGGCGCAATTTTAGGCATTTTAAAAAGGCACCCCTGAAGAACCCAAAAGGCACCCTGGCTGAAAAAGGCTGAGATAGATAGATAGATAGATAGATAGATAGATAGATAGATATAGATTATATAGATAGATAGATAGATAGATAGATAGATAGATAGATAGATAGATAGATAGATAGAGAGAGAGAGATATAGATAGATAGATAGATATAGATTATATATATATAGATAGATAGATAGATAGATAGATAGATATAGATTATATAGATAGATAGATAGATATAGATAGATAGATAGATAGATAGATAGATAGATAGATAGATAGATAGATAGATAGATAGATATAGATAGACAGATAGATAGATAGATAGATAGAGATATGGATAGATATTTGTTTTGCACAAATAGAAACTCTCCAATTATACTCGTTATAGGAAAGGTATCCACCTGGGTCCCAAATAGAAAAAAACATTATATTATAGCATTATGCATGCTGATAGAATCCTTATGAAACAGGACACATTGCACCCACACTTTAAAATTATAGGCTGGAAATATATTTGAATATTCATAGGATTTTTAAATGGATATGGCAGATTAATCTTCTGACACTGTTAGTGCCCTATGGAGCGTGAGTCATGGAATCACTGTGTATAAAGCATGTTTGAGGCAGGTGCTTGCTCATCTCCAACTGGTTTTTTTTGCTTGATATAGAGTCTGAGAGTTCAAGAGAGAGCGAGCGATCGAGCAAGAACCACGTCCTGCCATGTCCGTCCTCAATGCAATACCGTTCATGAAACCAATCCACATTCGGTCACCTCGCCAGCAGAGACGCCACACACTGCCAGCCAGCGAATTCCGATGCCTTTCTCCAGAAGATGCAGTCAGTGTTTTTGAAATTGAGAGAGAAGGTAAGTGATGCAAATGTGGGCACTTTACTGTTTTATTTAAAGTTATTATAATTACACAGGGATTATTCAATAAGGTCTTGAAAGAGCAATAATCATGTACAAATTGATGTAATGCTTAGACAGTTAAAGGAGAAGTAGGGATAAAGTGACCTGTGAGCTGGTTCACAAATTGTTTCACAAATTTATTGATTTTTTTTCTTTTGAACACTTGCCCACACCTTTGTTATTAATATTTTTTTTATATGTTTGTTGATGTTAATCACTCCAAGATACATTGATTATTAATATGCTATGTTTTTGAATAGTTTTCCACACACTGTAGTTTTGGACACTTTCCCACACTTTTTTATTATGAGTTTTTTATAGTTGTTTTTCAGCACTTTTGTATTATATAATATATATTTTGGGAAGAGGGCTGTCTTGATATTCTTTGCTCTGGAGGGATCCTGACTTTAATGTCAGGATCCACCCAGATGCTTGACCGGCAGCTGGTGCAACCTCTCAGACAACAAAAACATATTCGTCCTGATCAGACACATGGAAGCCGATGTGCTAAACTATCTGAAAATGTTCACACAAAGATTTTCATTCAATTACCCATTCATGTGCTGATATACAGTATACAAGGGTTTTCTTTTTATAGGTTTGGACAATTGAAATATTCACACAATTTATTGTGTGAATATTCCCAACTCCTTTATGAAATCAGCCTCATTGTTTGTGCAGGTAATGTTACTGCTCAGGAAGGCAAATTGAGAGGTACTGGAGAATCTCATAATGGTGAGGTCATATAGACAGCTTTGCTTGCTTTCCACTGCTGATTATTTGGGCCTCCACTGGATAGTTAAAAGATACCAATAAGGTCGCTTAAAGTGTACCTTTAGACAAAACACTTTTTTTTTTTTCTGCTGTCAAGTTTTTATTGCTGTCTGTGTCCCCTTTGGGAAAATTCACCCCTCTCTTTGTTCTGCCAACCATTGTCACCAAGAAAGAAATTAGGGGAAATCTAAAATTTGTTGTTCCCAGAACAAAAGGTAAGTGGAAATTATCCATTGGGGACAACTATCCAGAGAAAAAAACCCCTCTTGGGGTCCTTTCACATGGGCGTTCCGTTTTTTTTTTTTCTTTCGTTCAGTCACGTTTTTTCAAAGAAAAAATTGAAAAGTTTACATCCATTTTTTCATCCTTTTTCATCTGTTTTTTTATCCGTTTTTAATCCGTTTTTCATCTATTTATATTGGTTTACATCCGTTTTTCATCTGTTTAGATCCGTTTACATCCGATTTTCATCCGTTTACATCCGTTTTTCATCCATTAACATTGGTTTACATCCGTTTTACATCTGTTTAGATCCATTTAAATCTGTTTTTCATCCGTTTACATCCGTTTTTCATCCATTTATATTAGTTTACATCCGTTTTTTTCATCTGTTTGTAGATCCATTTACATCCATTTTTCATCCGTTTACATCAGTTTTTCATCCATTTATTTTAGTTTACATCCGTTTTTCATCAGTTTAGATCCATTTACATCCGTTTTTCAACCATTTACATACATTTTCATCCATTTACATCTGTTTTTGATCCGTTTACATCTGCTGACATCCATTTTTCGTTCGTTCCTTTTTTCTTGCGGAAGAAAAATAGGGTTTTCTTCCACTTAAAAAAACGGATGTTAACGGATACGGAATTGCAAGTCCATAAAAATACATGGGGGTCCGTTTTTCATCTGTAAACAGACAAATGAAAAACGGACATACGGAAAGGGGTCTTAAAGGAAATTCTTATCACTTTGGCAGATTTCCTTTAACTTCTTAATGTATCCTTCAGACAGGACGTAAAAGAAAATGTCATCAATGGTACACAGACAGCAAAAAATAAACTGGAATGGGTTTAACCATCCTCTACTCTATCTAACACTAAAAAAAGTTTTGGCTATACACTTTAAGGAGTGCGGTACAATAATGAGTCCGTTGATACTACACAAGAAATGGCAATGATCCAGGGGAAAGTGAGGGTGCAGCAGGAGCGAACAAGTTCGTGAAAAGTGAGGTTGATGCCCTGTGAGGTCCTGAAAAGAAACATGACTAGCTAAGTGAGCTAGGCATTAACATAGCAGGGGCAGAAATTAATATCAAATGGGAGCTCAAACTGTTTTTTATTAGCGGTGCTACGTGCAGTCTATGTCTAACATTACCACTTGCTGACACCATAAAGGTTGAGTGCCTCTGGTTTAGACACAACAGAACAAAGACTCCAGCTTGTGATGAGGGGATGATTTTGGCAAAGTGCAAATTCTCACCTTTACATTAAGTTGCTTAGGTAAAATTTGTCCAAAAAAAGATAAAGTTCTTATTTAGGAAAGCATTTTGATTAAATAAAAAGCTTGCTGACTACCTTACATAGGAGTACGGTGGCAGTGTGGCTCTCCTGGTAGGGGGCGCTCGCGCCGGCTGTGCTGTGCTTAGTTACAGCACAAGCCGATAAGTGGATGATTGACCGCTGGCACCCGCTGATCGGTGAGCAAGAAGACAGGACAGAGCTCTGTCAATATAAACAATACAGAGCTCTGTCCGGTCAGTGGGCATTTGCCAGTTTTTGTTTCCCTGCAAAGCAGGGAATAAAAACCGACACATCCCTTAGTAAAAGCATCTCACAGTACACACATAAACACTGGTTAGGCACACATTTAACCCACTGTATTAGTGTCACAGGTTCCCAAAAAGTGTCAAAAGTGTCAGTTAGTGTCAGACTATCCGCCATACTATCACAGTCCTGCTATAAGTCAGTGATCGTGGTCATTATTAGTATAAAAAAAACAATTAAAAAAAATTCCAGTATATACACCATAGTTTGTAGACACTATAACTTTCATGCAAACCAATTAATATATTCTTATAATGATTTTGTTTACCTAAAATATGTAGCAGAATACATATTGTCCTAAATGTATGAATAAATTAGGTTTTTAGATTTTTTTTATTAGATATATTTTTATAGCAGAAAGAAAAAAAATTATATATATATATATATTTTTTTATTATTTTTTTTTTAATTTTCGGTCTTTTTTCGTTTATAGCGCAAAAGATAAAAAAAGCCAGTGGTTATGAAATACCACCAAAAAAGAGCTCTATTTGTGTGAAAAAAAGTTTTTCTAAATGTCATTTGTGTAGAGCGTTGCATGACCAAGCAAATGTCAGTTAAAGTAATGCAGTAATCTTCTGGAGGTCAAGTGGCTAAGGTAGTTTAACTTATTTCACTCAGCATTCTTTGCATTCGTGTTTTTTCTATTTTTTGTATTTGATTGTTTGTGATGTTGCTTTAAATATTTAATTTTTGGCACAAGAACGGGTGCAGGATAGTTAAGAGGGTCTTCTGTAACCCCCAGAAGCCACTAAAAGGCGAATACACCCATAAAAACCAGTCCAATGCAATTAGAATAGCAAACTTTTATCAAAATCTCAAAAATTTTAGTAAATTAAAATTCTTAATTTTAGGGCAGTCTAAACAAGCCAAAAAAGTATGTACTATATGGTGCACATGCTATATAATGTAAACAAAACACTTCTTTTACCATGCTCCCTACAAAATGTCATCCCACTGTAGTGCAAGGCTGCACAGGTTACATGAGGGTGGCAACTCTGCTGTGAATTCAGGAGCAGTGCAGCATTGTTGCCAACCCAACACAGGTAGCTGTTTTAGGTGGAACTCACTAGCAGGATTAACAGGTACTGTATTTGAGGGACTTTGCTGAGGGATAAAGAGACTCTATGTGGACAAATACACTTGTAATAAAACATTTTTAATGTGAGGCCTTCAAAACATCTATGAAAATTATGAAGACTTTAATATAGTGTTGTTTGGCCAGTGCTGCAGTACATTTAAAACACAGATGCTGGTATGCTCAGAAGATAGTATCATCTAAAAATACAGCTTTGTTTAAACACTCTTATGACATCTGTAGTACATTGCTGGCAGTAGACAGTCAAACAAGACCAGACATGACATCGTGACTGTGATACTGACAGCTGGTCAATGTTCTGTGAGAGTCTTATAAATATCTGCTGCTGTATTCATAAGCCTCTATATACAGTGATCAGCCTTAACATTATGACTACCCACCATAACCTGTTGATGCATGGACTCCACTAGACCTCTGAAGGTATTCTGTGGTATCTGGCACCAAGATGTCAGTAGCAGATCCTTTAAGTCCTGTAAGTTGCAAGGTGGAGCCTATATGGATCAGACTTGTTTTTCCAGCACATCCCACAGATGCTCGATTGGATTGAGTTCTGTAGAATTCAGATGGCCAAGTCAATACCTCAAACTCCTTGTGTTCCTCAAACCATTCTTAAATTCATCAGACCAGGCCACCTTCTTCCAGTGCTCCTTGGTCAGGTTCTGGTGCTCAAGCCTATATGGATCAGACTTGTTTTTCCAGTGCATCCTACAGATGCTTGATTGGATTGAGATCTGTAGAATACGGATAGCCAAGTCAACACCTCAAACTCCTTGTGTTCCTCAAACCATTCTTGAATTCATCAGACCAGGCCACCTTTTGCCAGTGCTCCATGGTCAGGTTCTGATGCTCAAGCCTATATGGATCAAACTTGTTTTTCCAGCACATCCCACAGATGCTCAATTGAATTACGATCTGTAGAATTCAGATGGCAAAGTCAACACCTCAAACTCCCTGTGTTCCTCAAACCATTCTTGAATTCATCAAACCAGGCCACCTTCTTCCAGTGCTCCACGGTCAGGTTCTGATGCTCAAGTGCCCATTGTAGGTTCTTTTGGCTGTGGACACGAATCAGCATGAGCACCCGGACTGGTCTTCAGCTACACAGCCCCATACACAACAAACTGCGACACCTTTCTATCAGAACCAGTATTAAATTTGAGCTATAGTAGCTCTTTTATTGGATCGGACTACACAGACCAGCCTTTGCTCCCCACGCGCATCACGTGAGCCTTGGCCGCCTATGACCCTGTTGCTGGCCTTCCTTCATTGGGCTAGGTTCACACCTTTTGCAGTTTGTGTTTGATCTGTTCTGCAGTGCTTTTTGCGGTGAGTTTTTCTCGCGTTTTGCGGTTTTTATGCTTTTGTTTTGGCCAATTTCTTGTTGCGTAGATTAAAAAACACATAAAAAATATGCCAAAAACATACTACATGCTTTTCTGCTCTCTATTGAACCACAAATGCACCGTTTTGCATTTAAAAAAGTCCCTGACTCTACCCAAAAACACAACAGCTGAAAAGCATAGATGTGAACGTGTCTCATAGGAACCCATGTTGAATTAACTGTTGCGCGTTTCTGCAGAAAGTACCAAAAATGCATAGGTGTGAACCAGGCCTTAGACCACTCTTGGTAGTTCCTGATCACTGCAGACCAGGTACATCCCACAAGTGCTGCAGTTTTGGAATGGCTCTGACATAATCATCTAGCCATTACAATTTGGCGCTTGTCAAAATTGCTCAAATCCTTATGCTTGCCTGTTATTTTCTGTTGTCAGCACAAAAACTTCAAGGACAACATGTTCACTTGGTGTCTAATATATCCCACCCACTTTCAAATGCTATAGTAATGAGATCATCAACGTTATTTACTTTACCTGTCAGTGGTCATTTTGTTATGGCTGATCGGGATATAGGTCAAGGCACCGCTTGAATACTGTTTATATCTTTTGTTTGGTCCAAACTATTTAAAGTGAAAGTAAACCTGGAATTCTACTGTAACATTTAAGTCTCTGTCAACTCTTGATGAGTATCATCTCATCTGACTGCTCATCTGTACAAGGCTAATGGTTATACTATGTGAATCATCAAAACCTGATTCATTTTTTAAATGTCCTCACTTTGGAGGGATTTCCTCTCACTTCCTGTTGTGGCTATGGGACAGGAAGTGAAGGGAAATCTCCCCAGTGGGGCACAGATGGCAAGAAAACCCTGACAAGGTTTTCTACTTTACCTTGCAAGTTAGTGAAGCCAGGACTAAGAATTTGTCTCTTTAAAGCCAAGTTAGCACTATCAGCCTGAATTTTTCTGCCCTAACAAATTCACTTTCTTTGTGACCTAATGAATTCCCAGTTATTGCTAAAGATGGTGACTTTGTGTCTTACTGCTTCTATTGTTAATTGAATGTCCGTGTTTCCTTCTGTCCTTCCAGCCTTTATATCTGTGTCTGGGGAATGCCCCCTCCATCTGGATGAAGTCCGACACTTCCTGACACTGTGCCCGGAGTTGTCATTGGGATGGTTTGAAGAAGGGAGGCTCGTGGCATTTATCATCGGGTCCTTATGGGATCAGGACAAACTCAGTCAGGTAATAGTAATGAGGAGTGTGCAGGCTGCTGTGGATTATTTCTATCACCCATCTCCATTTACAGAGGGCATTTAAAGTGTTACTAAACCCAGGACCCTGCATTCACTATATCCGATCTCCTACAGTACAGATAACATGGAAATGCAATTATTTTAGTAAATATAAACTGCTAAATACCTTTTATCATCAGCAGTTAGCAGTCCTGTGACTTCTATCAGTGTCCAGCACAGCACTGGTTAATTCTTGTAGGAGGAGTTTTCATTCTCCCCTGATTGTCCTATGAGGCTGTATAACCCCTGACCCTCTGTCCAGATATTGCTAATTGGCCCTGTGCTGATCACATGCACTTTCCCAAGAAAAAAAAAAAACTCTCTAGCAATACACACCAAGCTGAGCATGTGCAGTTTACCCAGAAGGCTCTGTTCTATCAGGAGATTGATTGGGGACAGTAGGAGAAGGGGGGGATCAGAGAAGTCAGGATCAACCGGACTTTTTACACTGCAATGCACTGGATTAACCCCTTTTAACCCCTTTGGTTCCACAGTGAGTATAGCAAGTATGCTTTACTGCATAGACAGACTGATTTTACTGTTGTGGGTTTAGTATCACTTTAATTTAATCCTTGACATCAGAAGGAAGGACAGTTACAAAACTGGAGGAAACTGTCTGTGTCAGTCCAGCTGACAAGTAGGCTGTCTTTACTGTGACATTGATTCTTTTGTGTCAGTACTTTTAATCACCAGAATTCTGACTGATCTATATTCATATTTAACACTAGTGACTGAGAATCCACTGAGGCCAGGAGGTCTGGGAAAATGGTCAGGCAACTAGCATCTTCAGAACAAGATCAGCAATGATAGCGCATTGTTCTGACATGACAATTACACATTAAAGTAATATTAAACCCTCTATATTGTTTAGTTTAAAACATTGAGCAAAAGAAAATAAACCTTTCTTAGTAAACAAATCATTAAAATTCATATCCCAGCACTTACGGTTTGCAACACTTAACACTACTGGCTTCCTCTCTGTCAGTGCTGCTTCCCTGAACTTACAGTCTTCAGAGGAAGGAGTTAACAGTGCAGTGTGGAGTCAGTCTGTTAGCTTCTAGAAGGGATGGGGGAGGAGCAGGGGAGTGCCTTGAAAGACTACGGGGCTGTGTGTTTCTATTGATGCACACAGTATAGGAAGGCTCAAACCTTGTCCCTGCATGCAAGGGTGGTTTTATAGGACACTGTAGGGGAAGGAGCCATCCCTGAAACAGGAAACCTGAAGCAGTGGATATGGCACCAGCTTAAACTGGAACATAGGCAATGACTAATAGATAAGTAAAAAAAATTCAACGCAATGATATGAACAACTTAAATATTTCATTATCTTTGTTATTTTGCACACTTTATGTAAATTGTTCCTATTATTGTTTTTATAAGAAAAAAAAGTTATAAAAAAAGTTATACAAAAAAGTTATTAACAAAAAAGTTAAAAAAAAAAATTATAAAAACTTCTGTAAAGCTACCCGAGTGTGTTTGACAGGTGGCGAAGTGTTCCCTCTTCAACACCTGATTTAAACCCATGATTGCAGCACAAAGCACGCGATTGTGACATGTTAGTACTGAAATGAGAGGTTTAAATCAGGTGTGAGGAGCTGACACTGGACGACACTGTGCCGGGTGATCTCTGGCTTCTTCCATGTTGTTCAGGTAGATCTCCACCTCTTTATGGTTGCCTACCCCTGCTGTAGTGTCACATTAACTGCGATGTAAAAACGCCCCCACAGTGTACAGAACACCCACTATCTGACATGGTTACATATAAGCAACATTTAGAAGTTTTGTCAGCTTAAAAAAAATCATAGCTGGATTCATGCAGAAAGTCCTATTTATTAACATGAAATCAAAGCTTGCCATCCCAGCAAGCACATATAAATAGTGGCGCCCTTATAATCTGCTAAATCAGTTGTCAGCTGCTCGTCTGTTTCCCAATATGCATCCTTAGCAGACCTAACAACACAGTTATTTAAATGCAAATTTTGACTTTTTGTAAAATATCAGAAGCCAAGCTCTCATCTCCATCTTTAACCTCTCCTCCTGGCGGCTGGCATACACAAATGACGCATGACAGTCACAGGACCGCTATGGGTGGATTTGACACACAGGCTTTGATTGACAGCCTGGATTTTCCTTCTCTGTTATCTTTTCGGGGCAAGTTTAGGAAATCCAATAGGGAAATGACTTGTGCCGGCCATACATGGGTTGAAATTCGACTGATCTTTCGTCTGAAAATCGGACCTAAGAATAATTGGTCGATTTTCGCTCTGTTAGTAGGACAATGGATTTTCGTGGTTCAATCCCCCCCTTTTCGGTGATCGGGCATGTTGGAAAATTCATGAAAAACGACCGATTTTTGACTCGATGGTCAAATCGTATGATTGTTTTTCCGGAAAGAATATACGTATGAGCCGTGACCTGGAAGGAACAGAAGTTTCACTTGTTATATGGAGTGAACTTTATGACTTGGTCGGCCAATTTTTGAAATCATTGATGGCACCATCATATTACCGAGTTAACAACATTTTCGATTTTTGGACGAAAAATCATTCGGAATTCGACCCATGTATGGCTGCATTGGTCTCAATCGGGTTAAACCACAGCCGGCCATCAATCGACTTGGCAATCAAACACCACCGAAAGAAAGCTCAATTCATGGGAAAAAAAGGACGTCAATTTCATCTGGGTGCTGTTCTGCATGACCGTGGATTTGTCAGTTAAAGTAACGCAGAGCGGTAACGCAAAAATGGCCTGGTCAGGAAGGGGGTAAATCCACAGGAGGGCAAGTGGTTAATGAACTTTATTAACCCCAAATGTTAACCCCTTCCTGCCCAGTGTCATTAGTACAGTGTCAGAGCACTGATCACTGTATTAGTGTCACTGGAGATGTCAGTGGCAGTTAGTCAGTTCCCACCCTGTGTCAGTTAGTGTCAGAATGCTCACCGCAGTCCTGCAGTCTTGCAATAAGTTGCTGATTGCAGCCATCACTAGTATACAAAAAAATTTATATACACTTACTGGGATTTTTCTTTTACTAAAGACATATAGCAGAATACATTTTGGCCTAAATTTATGAAGAACATTTTTTTTTTTAATTTAATGGGTTATGTTATATAGCAAAAAAGTAAAAAACATTGTTTTTTTTTTTTTTAAAAAAAAAAAAAAAAAAAAAAAAAGCCAGTATTGATCAAACCAAAAGTAAAATTTATTTGTGTTAAAATGATATCAATTTCATTTATGGACAGTGTTGCATGACCGCAGCAGTTGTCAGTTAAAGTAGCACAGCTCTGTACAGCAAAAAATAGCCAGGTCATGGGGGGGGGGGGTTGCATGACCGCGCAGTTGTCAGTTAAAATCAAGTGGTTAACACGATTGCTTCAGTTTCCATAAACACTCAGTTACATGTGTTACTTCTTTTCCTACAGGATGCCCTCACCCTGCACAAGCCCCATGGCTCTTCGGTCCACATTCACGTCCTGGCTGTACATCGCACATTCCGGCAACAAGGCAAGGGATCCATCCTCCTGTGGCGTTACCTGCAGTACCTGCGCTGTCTGCCTTTTGCACGGCGGGCCGTGCTCATGTGTGAAGATTTTTTGGTTCCCTTCTACTCCAAATGTGGCTTCAAAGCTGTGGGGCCCTGTGACATCACCGTCGGCCCGCTGACTTTCATTGAGATGCAGTGTCCGGTTAGAGGGCACGCCTTTATGCGCAGAAATAGTGGATGCTAGCCCCTTTCATTTCAAACTCTAATGCTATTAATTCCTGTGCTTATCAAATGTTGCGACACATTGCAGAACAATACGATTCAACCACTGTGCTACCGAAGGGATTAATAAATGCTCTGCAGGGGCTGTCCTAAGCATTCCATTCATCAAAAGGGTAAGGTATGTTAACCCAAAAATGTGCTTTATTTAGTATTTTCAGTGTAATGCCTCACTGTACACACTTTTCCCAAGCAAATTGTTTTTTGGTGAACTTGTTGCAAATGTTCGTCTGAAAATTCTGCTGGGAACACGACTTCCTGTTGAAGGATGACAACGCTAAGCCGCTGCCTTGCAATTAGCAGCAGTGTTGTCATCCTGCCCAGGGGCGGACTGACCATTTTTGGAAGCTCGGGCACTGCCTGAGGGCCCGGGGTCAGTAGGGGGCCCCGTGAGATGCTCCTGGTACCTTTTTCATAGGCTTTTTTGAGTTTGGGCAAGGACACAGGGGCCCCATGATCCCCTATTGCCCGGGGGCCCCATGAGTTGTCAGTCTGCCCCTGATCCTGCCATGTACAATTCTTTATTTGGCAGGCCATACACAATACAATTTTCTGTCCAATTTCTGCTCAATTTCCTTTAGATTTACCTTCATCTATGTAGTGCAAGGGCCGGCCTAATTGGATACAATTGAAAGTGTTGCTTAGGTTTGCTCTGATATTATATAATTTTTGGTAAAACTAAACCAAAATTCTCAAAAAAATTGTATAATGTATGGCCAGTCTAAGGCTTCTTATCTGACAGGCCGTGACTTAGGCTGGCCATACATTATTCAATTTTCTGTTCAATTTCTGCCCAATTTCCTTTAGATTTACCTTCAACTATGTAGTGCAAGGACCTGCCTAATATTGGATACAATTGAAAGTGTTGTTAGGTTTGACCTCATATTATATGGTTTTTGTTAAATCTAAACCAAAAATCTCAAGAAAATTGTATAATGTATGGCCAGCCTTAGTCTAGGTTCACACCTAAGCGTTTTCCACTGCGTTTTGCAGAAACGCACAGCAGACCATTTCACATGATTTCCTAGGGGACAGGTTCACATCCAGGGGCGGACTGTCAACTCATGGGGCCCCCGGGCAATAGGGGTTCATGGGGCCCCTGTGTCCTTGCCTAAACTCAAAAAAGCCTATGAAAAAGGTACCAGGGGCATCTCATGGGGCCCCCTACTGACCCCGGGCCCTCGGGCAGTGCCCGAGTTTCCAAATGGTCAGTCCGCTCCTGTTCACATCTCTGCGTTTTCACTCAGTACGTTCTTTGGAAAGGGTCAGGGACTTTTTTAAATGCAAAATGTAGCATTTTTGGTTCTATAGACTTCAATGGAGATGCTGCAAAAAAGCATGTAGTGCGTTTTTGATCCATTTTGTGTTTTACTCTTCCCAGCAACAAGTTGAAAAAAAGCAAGACGCATCTAAAACACAGTAAAAATGTATGTGCAAAAACACAAAACGCACCGCAAAAGGCACTGAAGAAACGGATCAAATGCAAACTGCATAGGTGTGAACCTAGCTTTAGTCTAAAAAAAAAAGCAAAATGCATCACAGACGTGTCAAAAATGCATGTGCAAAAACGCACCACAAAAAGCACTATAGAAACGGATCAAATGCAAACTGCATAGGTGTGAACCTAGTCTTAGTCTAGGTTCACACCTATGCATTTTCCACTGAGTTTTGCAGAAACGCACAGCAGTCCATATATTCCATATATATTCCTATGGGACAGGTTCACTTCTCCGTGTTTTCACTCGGTGCGTTTTTTGGAAAGGGTCAGGGACTTTTTTTAATGCAAAACATTGCGTTTTTGATTTTATAGACTTCAATGGAGACGCTGCAGAAAAGCATGTAGTGCGTTTTTGACACATTTTTGATGCACTTTTGATGCATTTTGTGTTTTATTCTGCCCATCAATAAGTTGAAAAAAAAAGCAAAATGTATCAAATGCAGCAAATGTGTTAAAAAAATCATGTGCAAAAATGCAAAATGCACCACAAAAAGCACTGCAGAAACATAACAAATGCATACTGCATAGGTGTGACCCTAGCCTTAGTCTAGGTTCACACCTATGCGGTTTTCACAGCATTTTTGCATTTTGCAGAAACACACAGCAGTCCATTTAACATGAATTTCTATGGGACAGGTTCACATCTCCACGTTTTCACCTGGTACGTTTTTTGGAAAGGGTCAGGGACTTTTTTTAAACGCAAAATGTTGCGTTTTTGATTCTATAGACTTCAATGGAGATGCTGCAGAAAAGCATGCAGTGTGTTTTTGATGTGTTTTTTCACACATTTTGACGCAAATTGCGTTTTATTCTGCCCAGCAACAAGTTGTAAAAAAAAAAAAAAAAAAACACCAAAAACACAGCAAAAATGCAAAAAAAGCACGTGCAAAAACAAAAAAATGCACAGCAAAAAGCACTGCAGAAATGGATCAAACGCAAACTGCTTATATGTGAACCTAACCTATGCATTTTCCACTGCGTTTAGCATTTTTCAGAAACGCACATAGTCCATTTAACATGATTTCCTATGGGACAGATTCACATCTCTGCGTTTTCATCCGGTGCATTCTTTGGAAAGGGTCAGGGACTTTTTTAAACGCAAAACGTTGCGTTTTTGGTTCTATAGACTTCAATGGAGACGCTGCAGAAAAGCATGTAGGGCGTTTTTGATGCATTTTTTTTTTTTTGCATTTTCTTTTTGCGTTTTGCATTTTATTCTGCCCAGCAACAAGTTAAATTAAAAAACGCAAAATGCGGCAAAAATGCATGTGCCAAAAAGCACAGCAGAAACAGATCAAATGCAAACTGCATAGGTGTGAACCTAGCCTTAGTGTTATCAGCCTGCAGCAGGAAGTGCAGTTAATGGCGGGATCTCCAGGTAAGAACCTTTGCAGCAGATTCACAAAGAACTGTCTGCTTAGGAAAACTGTATACAGTGAGACTTGATGCCAAACATACTAAAAATACATTTTGGGTTTCCATGTGCTTTAATAAGGAAATTTACATTGGGAAATCCGTTGATGGGAAATGAAGCCCCTGTGTATCTTGTAAAAAATGTCACTCTCCTCCTTCCCAACTTCACTGTACAAATCCCTTTTAATTCACTGTCACAATAAATATGTATTTTTGTTTGTTTTTTGGCTTTTCTGTGTCATTATTATTTAAAGCTCTGAATTTCATACAAGATACAACTAGAAACATACCATGCCAGCAACAGGAATCCCGCCAGCGAGATACAAAATCATATTTTTCCTTTATTAAAATAGTCAGCAGGAACAGGCTCTATCCTGACATCATTTTACTGATTGTTCTGCGAGATTCGCAGCATTCCTGGAACTAATACGACCGATTGCATTGGTGGAGACAAGCCAAGAAAGCACCTGAGATGTCGTTGTGGAGTGTGGAGCCCGATCTCGTCTGGAATTGAATCTGAAATCTTAGAAAATGTATTATGGTTCAACAGATGTGCCAAAGGCAAAATAAATTCATATACTAGCATACAATATATTTTCAAGATATTTTCGAAATGGACACACATTTTCAGTAGTGTCCAGTAAGATTTAAAAATTGCAGTCACACGGATGACCATAAGTTTTTTTATTCCTGTATCAAGCCTTGTGACTTGACTTATACATATACAGGGGCTGTAACTGGCAGCTTATGAACATTAACCACTTCCCAACTGCCCTATAGCAGAGATACTGCTACAGGGCGGCACGGATGCGCAAAATCACGGATATATATGCGATTTTGCATTTCCACACCCACAGCTGTCAATCAGCGGGTCCCGGCCAGTAATTACTCACCGGCGCCTAGTGATTTCAAAAGATCTCTGACAGGGAGGAGAACTGTTTTGCTTACTAACAGTTCTCTTCCCTGTCAGCTCGGGCACACTGCTTTGGATGGCTGTGCACAGCACAGCCATCCAAAGCAGTGTGATTACAGTGACGCACACAGACGCCACCCCCTAGTAAAACACACCCAGCACAGTTAACCCTTTGATCACCCCTCATGTTAACCCCTTCCTGCCAAGTGCCATTCCCATATGGAAGACAAATATATTTAAAAAATATTCTTCCCAAATATATTGCCATATATTTGAAATGCTACAATTTTGGCCATATTCAATATATTTCAAAATACATTTTTATAAATATATATACATATACTGCATGTTGAAATGCATTTTTATTACAAAATATATGAAAAATATTTGTAAAAATACATTTCAAATATACTGTATGTCTTTAAAAATACAAATCTACATTTTTGGAATGCATTTACAAATATATGTAAAAATATGTGTTAAAATTATTTTTTTATATGTTAAAAAAAAAATCTGAAGAATATATTAAAAAATATATATTTGTAAAATATGAATTTGAAATGTATTTTTAAAGATATTTTTCCTATATTTTGTAATAAAAACTCATTTCAACATGCAGTATAAATAAATATATACAGTGGGGCAAAAAAAGTATTTAGTCAGCCACCAATTGTGCAAGTTCTCCCACTTAAAAAGATGAGAGAGGCCTGTAATTGGCATCATAGGTAGACCTCAACTATGAGAGACAAAATGAGAAAAAAAAATCCAGACAATCACATTGGCTGATTTGGAAAGAATTTATTTGCAAATTATGGTGGAAAATAAGTATTTGGTCACCTACAAACAAGCAAGATTTCTGGCTCTCACAGACCTGTACCTTCTTCTTTAAGAGGCTCCTCTGTCCTGCACTCATTACCTGTATCAATGGCACCTGTTTTAACTTGTTATCAGTATAAAAGACACCTGTCCACAACCTCAAACAGTCACACTCCAAACTCCACTATGGTGGAGACCAAAGAGCTGTCGAAGGACACCAGAAACAAAATTGTAGACCTGCATCAGGCTGGGAAGACTGAATCTGCAATAGCCAAACAGCTTGGTGTGAACAAATCAACTGTGGGAGCAATAAATAGAAAATGGA